ATATAAATTTTACAACTGTATATTAGCTTATTCGAACCACATTATAACGACATTCTCGCATGACAAGATGTGTTTCTACCGACAGGTTTTTTGGGAGTTGTGTTCGTCACTTGCGCATGAGGCAGATGACCGTAACGTGTCCTTGTTTACAGACATGCGTCTACCCTAAAGCCTTTGCGTTTTAGCGTACGTTGCTATTGTCGCTTAAGCCCCTTTCACAATTGGTGCCAAACAGACTACAACGGCTTGCGACTCGAGATTTTTCCCGTTGTACGACTCGTTGTAGCCGTTATACCACTTATTATACGATCCAGATGCGACAAAATGGTCGCATCTCGGTCGGGAAAAAAACCGTGCTGCTCCGATATTTTGAGCGACTGACGCGATGAAAAATAATTGCACGACAGGCAGTACGAGTGTTGTGCGACTTTGCACGCACTCGTAAGACCCCGAACGAGTGTTGCACGAGTATTTTCATGTCGTACGATGATGCGTTCCGTCGTACAAGTCCGTTGTACCACCCTAAGACTATTGGAAGACCTGTCTTGCCCCCTTTGCAACGTTGTACGATTTTTTTTTCACCCCCAATATAAGCTCGAGAACTCCTGAGCTTTCATCCCAAATGTCTTGATTTTATATATTGCTTGCGACTCAAAGACAACACTTCTACAACAGGACAGAAAAAATATTTTCGAAAAAAAAAATGATCGCACGAGTGAGGCGACAGTTGTGAAAGGGGCTTTAGGACTCAATTCCTTTCAACTTAGGACTCAACTCTAAATAAATCCTCTAACAACCTGTTTGATATTGTACATACCTTATTTCAGATTCTTCATTTTGTGACTATAATATCAATTATCATTTTAGTGATTATTTTGGTACTTTATTATTTTTTTTAGATCCAGCTGACACCAACCATTGTCATTCGATATACAGATAACATTTATTTAACAAATAAAATATAAAATTCACACAACTACACGTCAGTTAAAAATATTTAATCAGCAAAATCCATCAGTGAGCTTTCTCTAACATACAGGTTTTGTCCAATATAAATAGGCGTTATTCCATTAATATTTCTATTAATATGGTAACAAAACTCATATTAAAAACACGCCAACAATCTCTAATCCTATTACATTAACCTTAGATGTACTGAATACGGCTAGCCTTGGCATTGAAAGTTTTAAATTAAAGTTATAAGCCATCAATTTTAAATTAAATGTTGTGCTTCGCGGCATCTATGTCCTAAACAATAGTGGCTCAACCTTTAAAGTCATGATCAGACATGCAAAAAATCATATGTCCCCAGACAGACGCACTTCTAATAATTTGAAACAATATACAGTAAAATGTTGGCTTTACGTTTTATAGAATGATGACCAGTGAGGGACAAAATTAAAGTCGTTCAATCTTAATAACAACGTATGTGTTAAAGTATCATATAATCTAATTAAAATCTGATGTAGGTATACGTTATTTTTTGTTTATTTATGAATATTATCTGGTTTTTATATATCTCGGTGGCCGTAACAACATCTGATCCAATGCAATAAGGAATCTCTTGCAGCGCGAATAGTATTCAACCACTTTTGTCGGCCAATCACAGAGCGCCTTACAAAAAGTTGTCCGACTAGTGCATGCTTTCGAGAAGACAAATTATTGTTTTAGCTTGCGGAAAAATCGATCGAAGATGGTGATTCAAAGGTGAGTTTAGCTATTTGTATGCAAATATTGTAGCTTTTATGGGTAATTGCGATTGGAGAACAGAATATATTCGAGTTAAATGCGACGTAAAATAACATTTTGTATAATCGTGGTTCGTCGTCCATATTTATTATATAATCGTGATCCTTCGCTCATTTTTAGTTCTTCTGCCATGCATTGTATACACCTATATTCCTTCGCCGACCGGCCAATTGCTTTAATTTTTTTTATTCTCGATAATCATAATAAATCATTATTGAAAAGGAATGGAGAGCTACAGTTGATAGCGCGGTTAGGTACTGTACATATATATTACATTTCACATGATCAGTCAATCAATCGATCGATCAAATAATTATTTTACTAATTATTACATTATTATTACATTTGGAATTAACAAAACAACAGAAATAATTACAAATAGGTAAAATGGGAATTAGAAACAGCCGTAGGCTAATTTAGCCTGATTCCTCAGTGTTTGCAGAAATAAACGAATTACACTGTCTTAGAAATCATGTATCATAAAGGCATGTATTAGTTTGATCTGGGCATCATATTATTGTAAATTTAATCGTTACCACATAATTTGCGAGCAAATGCACACCCTCCCTGTCTTCGCTGTCCTTTGTTTTAGTGAACGACCCCAGCGCCATACTGGACGAGTTGATACTATGCGAGTCTCAGTCATATTATCGACCCTAGTGCGAACCAGCGAATCGGTATAACAAGTTAACTCATGTGAAGTGCTTTACTGTTTTACGCTAATCACAAAGCACCGAGACATATATTATTTATCGCCCAGGTTCCCTTTCTCACGTATTCGCTTCCACCCAATACTATTCGTTGCTAGTTACAAAATCAAATGTAACTCTTTTTGATCGTTACGTAATGTGGGAGTTACAATGGGAGTTACATATACAGATGTAACTGTAAGATTAACACACATGTATAGTACACAGTATATATAATATAGCAAGTACTTTCTCAAATTTGTTATTACGGGTAATCTTTCTAAACAATTTCTCGAAACTTACCAAATTGAAGTGTCAATTTGCAAATGGATTACATGTTGTGCGTGACAGAATACCGACATTTGGAGACCAGACTAACATGGCCAAAAAAAATGGCGCTGTAGTCTCTATAACAATTTATCAGTAGCTCATATTACGCTCCATACTGTGGACATAAACTACATGTTGATCATAACACAAAAACTGGAAATATTATGTTCGAAGTTTTTATTGGTAGTTATTGATAAAGTCTTCATTTTATGAACTGAAAGGCTAAAGTTTTACTGAGAATTGCTTCAAACGATTAGATCTGTGTCTATCTGCGTAATGTGATTTCCGATATGCATGGGTTTGGATTCTTCGCCACTATTGTTTATGATACACATCGAATGGTCCACCTGCCGCGAAGCAGAATTAAATTTCAAATTGATTTTGAGTATTGAAATCTAAATGTAATAGTTTATTAACAAGTCTAACCGTATTCTGTAGACCTGTATTATTAAGGTGGATATAATAGGATTAAAGAAATAAGATCGGTGTCCTTTCAATTAGAATTGCCTCGCCATGTTAATAAAAATGTTTAATAATTGTTTTTTTATATTAGACAAAGCCGTGCAATAGAAAGTGTCCTCTGTTCGATTTTTCAGTTCAACGTGATAATTTACTAGTAATTTACTAGGTGCGTGCCCAATTCATTTCTCGCTGATGTTTGGTTGTGTGGATTTCCATTCCATTACGTATTAATTAGGTTCTATTCGTTATTGTATTTTACAAAGAATACTGTATCTATCGCATGTGGACAGGGGTGTGTGAATGAAGAAATCTGAAATAAGGTATGTATTACATCAAAGGTTGTTGATGTAGCCGCGTATCATCAAACGATTTAAGAACAAATAAATCCAGCTTGTGAAAATCATTTCGACAGAAACAAATCATGAGAATATCTTGATCATGCGTTTTCGTATAAGCTAAAATGTAGTTATAAATTTTGTGTAGATTAGATTATTTTAAATGTAAAACAAGCCATGCATGGCACAGTCCCCGTTAGTTTTTAAAATTTAAGATATATAGTTTTGTTTATAGTAATATAGCTGGAATATAACCATGACATGAATATGATTTTGAGGATTGACATTTGTATCTGATCGTCAAACGAGTACTTGTCCACATTTAGAGATATTGCTCTGGAACAGCATTATTTAAAACAAAATCAGCCATTTTGAATACATGTATATATCTATAATATGGTGTATAATGAATATTAAAAACTTGAACATAATCAGTCAAAGCAAGTCAGCGATATGGCACCAGAACCACATTAAAACAGTCGGCCATTTTGAATCTTATCCGAAAAACAAAATGATGTACATCAAGGACCTATAATGTCCAATGTATATACCAAGTTTGAACAAAACCCATCTGTAAACAGCCGTCTTGAATCAGATCGTGAAACAAATTGATGTGCATATATATAATGTAATGTATGATGTATGTGTGAAGTTTGATTGCGATTGGTCCAGGCATTTCTAAGATACAGGTTCGGACGCACGCACGCACGCACAAACATAAGTCGCTGTTTTTGGACTGCATCCGAACGGGGACTAACTTTAGATTCGTAAGAATGTATACTAGTTTGTCAATTCTAGTAAATAATTTAAAATAGTTATTGACTTGTTCGATTTAATACAGTACAATAATATCTGACACGATTCGCCAGTAAGTTTGTTATTTTAAGCTACACTTGGTAGCCATTCTGTTGTAATGAGTATAAGTTGATAAGTTAGAGCATGTTGATTATTCGTGCAACATTATAAAGCATCTCAACATGGCCAATTTGGTATATGTCCTACCACTCCAAGGTGCTAATTTTTGTGTCCATAATAAAACATTAGCTAAGCAATAAACATATAAAATATTAAAATTAATGTCCAACATACATTGTTATTTTTATGGATGCAATTTCGTGTTTCTAATGCATCTTTTGTAATTTCAGGAACGTTGTGATTCCAGTTCATGTATCTGATCCACTATATATAATTCTGAGTCCAATAATGTGCACTTTTCCAGTGTATAACCTTTATGTGTGGCTTATGCTGTGAAGGCATAAACAATATACAAAAGTTTCCATACAAACACATCACCTCGATTTACCACTTAATATATCAAGTTTCATGACCACTGGCCAGGTTGTGGCGAATCAATTAAATTGTTCACGCTTATAATATAGTGGCCAAAGAGGAGGTTTAAAAGCTAGGTCTAAAACAGAAGCCAATAAACATTACACACATCTTCTCTACAGTTTTATTGAGCACCAGCTAACATAGCACACATGTACCGCTCAGTACTAGAAATCATTAAATGCTTAGCATTGAAATATGTGTTATTTAGAACATATTGTTTATATACATAGAAGTTACAATAAATTTAAGGCACTCGAAAATACATTCATATGAAATAGATATAATACAATTCATGCAACTAGGATAATCTTTGCATAATTGTATATGTACAGAAATTGTATTTATAATCAAAAATAGTAAGAAATATGTAAAAGTGATATTTTTTGTTAAATATTTCGATTTTAAGGGAATATTTACATTTCAAGTATGTACATACTGTAAATATTCGATTAACTTTCGGCTAACTAAATATCTACACAAATAACACAATGGCACCCACATAAATGTAATTCTCAATTAAAATCGTTTTGAATACTATATAATTTCTTGCAGACACTTGTTCAATACTTGTGATGTAATGGCTTTTATTCGATAGATATGTTCGAAACACTTTTCAACCAACTTGCAATGTGAAACGAATCTAACCTATGATTAAATTAGCAATACGATGATTTCAATAACAAAAATCTACTGATGAGTACTTGTTTGTAATAGTAAATTGGCGAATATTGTGAAGGAAATTTAGGAGTATTAAAATGCTTCTGATCTATGCGCTAATCTACATATTTCACAAAGAGTTAGAAACATACATTCCGTGTAGGCATTTTGTATTGACATTATAATCCCAGGAGAGTTAAAGCTTAAATCAATTAAAAAAATGAAAGCAGGTACACACAGTTTCCTACCACGAAAAGAATAGCCTTTGTCGACTATGAGTCAAGCCAGATTAGTGCGCAAGCTTAGACTCAGAATAGTATAACTTGATATATACTTTACATTTTTAAGATGTTTTGAGTTAAGGTATGGCTCATCAAAAACATATACAAGCACCATTTAATTCTTGTCCATGTTCACCTGATATTTGATTTATCACCATCAAATAGTGTATCGCTAGTGTATTAATTAATTCATTGCATTTAAGAATAACTCTGCGCCGTCTCACTTTTTTCACCAATTCGTAGTAACCGCCTATGTTCCTATAAATATATAAACAAAAATAATTAATAAATGTTTTATAAGATTTTAATGAAAAAACACTAGTCCTTTTAACCAGCATCTTTGTATCTCGTAATAACATTTCTATATGATAATAATATAAGGTCGATGGAATAATACCATAAGTCGTGCAGTAAAATGTCCAAGAGCAAATTGTTAATGATCACAAATGTATGATCATGCGCAATCTAACAACTTATATTAACTCCATCTTTACAAAATTTGTTTAAACTCAAAAATTAATAACAGAGACAGTAATTTAATGTCATGCATCTGACTTGTTGTGAAAATTACAATGATTTTAATCAAGAACCTAACCATTGAAATGTGATCAATGTATCAGATATAATATAACAAAATGCTTTTTAAATAGTAGATCCATTAGGAAGATTCGTTTAGAATGTATTTTTACACGTATTTATTATAAGAACATGTACAGCATCTAGTAAAAACATCGTCTGAGATTTACTAAGCATATGTCATGATGATTGTACTATTAACCTACCCTTTCTGTTTCTTCTAACAGGTATTTATCTTCCTTCATTTTGGCTCTGTGGTGTTGGAGCATGATGTAGCTCTCTTCACGATTGACATGGTACTACAGAATACAGAAAGAAAATTAAATAAATGTTGCTATTACACATTGAATAAAGTAAATAAATACAGACCACATTACACCATATACCATCGAAAACAAAAAAATCATATACATTAAATGATTTTTCGAAATCTTGAGAAGAGAAGGTTTAATTGTTGTAATATGGATATTTAACAGGTATTATATAAGATCAAAAATCTTAAAAACTAAGATTAAGCCATCGTCAGAATCACGGTTTCGCTAAAGCCGGCCATTCATAACAGGCCCATGATCGTGTTAGGAAAAGCCGTATTTCACTGCAGTTAGATTGAGTCATTTAATTGGGCGCGCCAATCAGCGTTTCAGTATCATAAATGTGAAGGTCGGGTAGTTCATCACAGATTAAAACAATGGATGTGCGCTGATTTACCCGGAGTCAAGAACAGGAGGTCTATAATTCCATTTCCAACTGATAACATATCGATTTGTAGTCTTCAAAACAGTCCAAGTAATGTTGTTTCTTTTGTGGGTTTTGATTGGAAGATGCAAATGAGCCGAAGTGAATCTTACAATCGACTGAGGGCGTGCGACTTATAGTAAATAGCGGTAAAATCTGCCAAAGATGATTAATGTTGAGAATTCGGCCGAGTAAATGGTCATTGGCTGGCGAAGATGAGATTAAGCTAAAACAAACATTATAATAACAATTTTGACAATTGTGAGGAGTGTGACAAACTTACCTTATATAAGTCAGCTTGTTCTCTCTGCAATTTCTGATCTAATTCTTTTTCCTTTCGTAGACACTCTACGGCATGTTCTTTCATTGTTATCGAGTTGTTCCTCTTCATTTCCTGTAACTTGTTATGTAATCTTTTACATGTTTGTTCTTTCTGTTTTCTTGAATATTCTGCTTGTCTGACTTTATTGTATAGCTCTTGTTCCACTTCTTCGTGTTTATTAACATATCTCTGCAAATAAATCCTTTATATAAATTTGTATCCACCGATACATCAGTGATATTCGATGTGTGTGTAGTACTAGCACGCATGTACACTATTTTTAGGGTCTTCAATTTCGAATTAAATGTTCTCCTGCTTGTACTTAACCTACATCAGAAGACAGATACAATCAGTCCCGTTCAAATGTAAGTCTTCTTCTAGTTAATTAATTAAATCTGTCTGCTCTACTGTATATTTCAGTTTAACCATGCACTTACTAAACAATGTTTTAATTTATCCTCGTGTTCAAGTCTTGCTGCTTCATGTTGCCTCTTGGTAAGCCGCTCCAGATAGGCATCCAACTCTTGTTCATGCTGCTGCTTTCGATGTTTTGTAAGATGTGTGATATTTGCCTGACGTTTGATATCATGTGCCTGGAAAATAAACATATCATACAAATATTAACAGCAAGTAATGTGATGAAAGTTGTTAATGCTATGAACACAGCTATTCATATCTGTAAATCATCAACAAAATCCACGTGCTCCATCTGCTCCATCTGCTCGAAGGAATGCCAATGCTAGTTTGTCTGGATCTTAGCTATGTTGACAGTAAGTTGATGGGTATTTAATAAATGATGATTTTATCAATCCATAATAGGATAACTAATTCAAATGTTTCACTAATTGTATGAGCACAATGGCAGTGTTGCACTCTTGTATGTTAAAGGGCGGTGGTTGTCGCCCAACGTTCTGTTCGTTAGCACTCATAGCGACGTACACAACGCATTGTTTGTTTGTTTACGTGAAATTCAAATACGAGATGCTCAACGACTATCGCCCTTTACTGATCAATTTGCAAATCAGAGTAAATTGGCAACGCAAAATTAAAAAGTGTGGTTTAAATCATAATCAATATTCAATAGTACTTTGCATTTTAGTAAACAAACATTAAAAGTTAGTTTTACCTGCACACGTTGGTCAATTTGTCGGCTTTTAAGATCCAAGTCGGCGTTGACTGCTGCTTCTTGTAACTGTCGTTGCGTATTGGTATTCTCTACAAGTCGGTTATGTGTGTCTTGCATATGCCTTCCTTCTGTATATACAGAAAACAAAACAATACAAAACCCGTTACAGTAATCAGTATATGATTAAGACATTTGTGGTAAAAGCATTGTAAAACTAATATATGCCCAAATAAAATACACTTGGCTTTCCGTTAACTGGTTTACAAATTATTGGTATCTACCCAGTTTTATTATTTTTTATTTCTCTCAATAACCCTTAGGGTTATTGCTAGAACATAATCATGGTTTAACTACAGATGTGAAAAAAATTACATCCTAGTTAGTTTGGTAAATAAATTGAACATGGAATCACAGTTTTTATAGGCCTGAATATTGTAATCAAATTTTCAAAGTGTTCTCCATACAAAACACACATAACAAGGCAATCCAAATATTAGTGCAAGTTTAACTACTAGTACTTGGTTTTCCTAGCAAAACTACTGCAGTTTTACAGTATTGCAAAGTATGAACAAAATATAAATTCGCATAAAAAGATTTAATCTTTTGCTTATTAAAGTCAACCTCTTTCCCCTCTCTCAAAAAACCAACATCATGTAACACATAAGAAATTGTGATCTAAGATTATCAAACAAATTATATAAAAAATATGCATTTATCATTACCTTCTCTGCCCTTAAGTGCAATTCGTGATTTAGATAAAGTCAGGTCAGCACTCAGTTTCCTTGTATTCATTATATGGTTGCTAGCTTTACCTTGATTTTGCCTGAGATACATAGCAATGAATAAAACAAATGTCATTAGAATGGATTTTGGCTAGGCTTATATACTTTAAATTACTTCATTTTTACGATAACGATTTGTCTAGCTAAAATGTATTTTACGATAAATATAGCTGTAGATAATCAATAAACATAACAATAATCAACTGTATTACAGTTATGGCCACATACAAGTTTGAAATATTCAAAGAACAACATGTGAGTTCGTCGCTGTTAAAATGTAAATATAGAATATTATACATGTATTTAACCCTTATATACTTTAAGCAAATAAACAAAGCCGAATCAACATTTAGTGTACGTTATAGATAATCAGAAATAAATAAAAATTCTTTTGAATTTAAAATTCACTCCAAGGTTACCTACTCAAAGCAATCAAAATTGCATTGTTTGAAGACAGTTTAGATTTACCATAGAAAGAAACCCATCATATGCTAGTAAAACAGATCTAATTAACATGTTTTGAAGAAGTGGAACGATTGCAAGACCATAATTGCTTTTCGTAATCTAATTCCCAGTGATTAAGGTTTCCATGTTCATTAAGAAACAATTTTATATGACAATTACAGCACACTCGATAGATATGATATCTTCTTGTTCTTTCTGATTAAAGACGAAAACATGACATCGTACATATTAAAGCGGGAGAGTAGTCACCTACGCATGCGTGTCATTGTTTACAAACAAACGTCCATCCATAAAACTTTGCGCTTTTAGCGTGTGTTGTTATCATCGCTTGGCACTCAATTCCTGCGCGTGCATAGGTGACGTCCTTACCGCTTTAAGATAAGCATATTTCAAAAATATTACTTTGAACACGACATATATTCACTTGTCAAGCCATATTTAACCATTCAACCATTCAAAAAACGGTCTGTCTTGGTAGACCATATAGTGCACAGAATTGTAGTTACCTGAGTCTCCTGTCTAGGCTTGTCTCCATTTCATTTGCTTCCTTTACTTTCTCAATAGAATCTTTCTTCTCATCCCTGAAAACAGATAAAAAAACGTCCATGCTATGAAACCTCTACAATATCACTCTTCAACAAAATTTGACCACCCAGCTTGTCGTACTTTACTGGCTTCTAAGATTTTGACTGATCACTGATTTGTGCTATTTACGTTCTGCAAAATGTTGTACACCTCAGAATTTTCTGATTGGTTGGTTATATAGGTCGACTCTTATTTAGGTTTGAATTATTGAGAGCAAAAATTGGCAGTACATAGTTTTGGATATTAAATTTGCATTTGTATCCTATTTTTTCGTATATCTTAAAATCTTTGTCTCAAACTTACTTTTTACTATCTTCCTGAGTGGTCCTTGCCTTTATTGTTTCCATATTTAATGCTAGCGCCAACTCAGCTAGCTCTTTTTTCAGTCGAAATGTCTCCTCTTCTTTCTGTTTCATCTTCTGGGTAAATTCGTCATTCAATCTCTGCACTTCTGTCCTACGTAATTCAATTTCAGTAGCTGTTCGTCTGTATTTACGTTGTAAATCTCCCCTGTTTTATAACAATGACATTTAGTTGCATATTTGCAAACACCTCACAGTGAATGCTTGAAGACAATAGATAGCATCATATCTTCAAATCACCTCAAATAAAAATCAATTGCAACGTAAGATCTATTGCTACTTAGTGCATGGACCTCAGTGCAACTAGGGTAGATTGGAAACTCTGGTTCCTACTTGGGCGAGTGTGGCACAAACTCAATTGCAAGGCTAAATCCACTGGCCGAGATTCACAGGTGCTTGTGTTCAACAGGCCTGGTTAATGCATTAAATTGCAATAATGCCATTATGATAGGAAGATGTTCCGACAATCTAGTCAGGTAGTCCCAAATTGGAATATGGTGTCTGTGACAAAATGTACTATATGTCAGCACTTGCACTTGACAACAATGACAGTAAATGCCCACAACTGTCACCTGACACAAACATTACAAAAAAAGAGTATGTATTTACTTTTGTGCACACATTTTTATATACGATACATCTGGAGTAAACAAACGCATGCTTATAGTATAAATAGTCACATTCAAATCCAAAAAAATGATTGGATTGACTATATATCTCTATTCTCTATCTCTATTCCAGAAAGCAATCATACAGCCTAGATATAGTGACCTACTTTGTTAATCAAATCACTAAAATTGTAATAACACTACACATGCTTATTTGATGTGTAACTGTCATGAGTTTATAAATATTTTATATGGCTTAGTTGACTTCAGTGTAGATCTATAGCAAATTTAATTTGTGTATCTACTGAGAATATAATAATGTATCAATGAACTAATGGAGAAATCTTCTAAGTGAAAAATTACAAACATATCATCAAATTGTCACTATCTTCATTCTGTCTCCAAAAAATTCTAAACGATGGAATAATTTTTTTTATAGAATAGGATAAAATGAAATGATATTTGCCGGCTGTCTTAATTGGAAAATGTTTAATTAAATTCACAAGTGTACTTAATTGTAGGGACATAATAAGGTACCAGTGAGTTCCATATCCAATATCCAGTGGTGTTTGAAACAGGTTAATAATAAAACCCTGCACACAAAAAACATAGTTTAACTAGTTTTCCAGTTCAAGTAGAGTTTTGCTTATAAAAAAAAAAGACAATATCTGACAGTGAGGGCGCAATTTACAGTTAACAACTTAGATGTCAGACACAAAATTCAAGATAAGTTAGCATGTACTGCAGTTATAATGAAATGAACTTACGTCAGAACCTCAGCTTTTCTGCCTTCATCTTTGTTTTGCTGTAGTTTAGACTGTGCTTTCTCAATGCGACTTTTAGTATTCTACAATAAGCATATATATCATAATTATGCAAAAATTGAAACTTTCTAATGTTTATAACAAACTGTCATAAATCGCATGACAATGTTCATTGCTTTATTATGTACAATCATGAAGCTATAGCATTCGTTTGTGTGTTACAGTGAAGCAGTTTCAGAAACATGTTCTGATATTTTCAAAAATCACTATTTTTAGAACAATTGCATAGAAGAAAAATTGCATATTTTTACACTTTAAAAGCTAGATTATTGAAATAGTTCAGGACAACAAAAAGTACCCCATCAGTACCCCAGGAGTACCCCAGGAGTACCCCAGGAGTACCCCAGGAGTACCCCAGGAGTACCCCAGGAGTACAAATTATTGCAAAATGAATTAATTCTTGGTATTTACATTTATGAATAAGCTTCTACTTTAACAAACATGTTTTAGTCACTAATTACTGTTATTATTTGTCAAGTTAAAATATCCGAAAAGTATGCAACTTTTGATTTAATAAAATACTTGTACACACCTATGAACATGTACATTGATGCATGTTGCAAAGTGATTCATCATTAACTAAAAAACTATTCTTGTAGTACACATTTCTTCATTCAATAAAACAGTGAAATGTTCTAAAACGCAAGTGCACTGATTGTTTTGGCAAATACATTAACAATCACTGTAAATGTGTAATAGTGGTTTTGATTTTACAATGCTGTAAGCGCTGCATTTTTAGGTTATGATATGACAATCCATTTTATCCTTAATATGGCATATCTAACGATATGAAGAATATATATATATATTACATTTTTAAATATCTTAAATCACAAAAACAAGGAAACCAAATCAACTTTATGTTCTAATAAAATTACATATAGTAGTACACAAAATACGAAAAGGTCAGTCATTTGAAACATACATGTATTGTAAAGAAACTGATTTATAAACTTTTCAATTTACTTACATTCTCCTTTCTGTGTGTGATTTCCCTCTGGATTTCATATTCTTCTTTCGTGGTTCCGGTTAGTTTCTTTTCTTCTGAAACTCTTTTTCTATTGATTGCTATGACAAAATAAAAAACAACAATTGAACAACTAGGAAAAATTAAGACAGTTACAAAGGAATGAGGAATGATATAGTGTTTTACAAATAAGTGTGACCATTGTTATCAGCCCTTGATTAGCACGTTATCTCACCTGATTCATAATCCCGCAGAGTACGACGTAAATGCTGTCGACTTTTGATGATGTCACCTTCTGATCGTTTCAGTTCTCGTTCTTCTTGTTTATGTTGCCACATGTGATCCTTTCATTTAAATAATGCATAAAACATGAATAATTTAAATATAATTAAAATAAATAGATGGTCATACAATAATAACTACTTTTTTTCAATTGACTAAAAATTATGAAAAAGGAATACCAGTATATGATTTTTTTTAAATATAATTCATGGTAACAATTGTTTGTAAGGTTACTGTATGGAGCATACAATTTTTTTTTAAATTGGAGATTTCATGAAAAACACATAAGCACATTTACTGTTTTACAAATTTTAAACCCACATAATTTCTTCCTAAAATTTTGATTCAGAAAATTATGTGTACTTGAACAAAAATTAACAAACAAATATAGAAAAATACAACAAAATTGTTGCACCCACGTTTGGCTGAAAAATGTTTTAAAAAATATTACCGGTAAAAAGATATTAAATATAATATAATGGCTTTTACCTCTATGATTTTCATCCTTTTCTCAAAATCTTTTTTATCTTTTTCAATTTTGGCTTGGAGGTTAACAACAGAAGCAATTTCTTTGCCTCGTGCTGATGGTGGAGCACTGTGTGACCCAGTTCCATTGGCAACTGTAGTATCAGATGATTTATTCCCTTTACTGTCAACCACTTTGCCTTTCAGCTGATAAGAATATGTGTATTTATGGGAATCCAAGAAACCATTGGGACCAATCTTTCTTTCTTGTTCCCTGTTAAAAAAAATTATATTTTAATGAAAAATCTATCAACACCATCATAATTCTAAACAAATTGATACATGTAATGAATGTGAAAAGGAATTATTGCATGGATTACCCAACTGTCGATTTGAAAAAAACTTTTGTTTTTATGTATGTGTGCAGCTGAACTGGAGAGGGCAGTATGCAGTATGTAGTGAGGCACAATGGCAAGAAACTACATCCCCAAATTATCTGTATTTTCTTTAAACTCTGTAACCACAATAATTTTGCTAAAATCAGAAAAAAAATTATTCACAGTAGCAGAATTTCCTTGGGATCTTTCAGGCTGTTATGGGTTCAACAGTGTGTCCATTTTTATGTATTTTTCTTTACTTTTTAAACTAGAAATATTTCTAAATCAAGTTCTCATGTCTGAATTAAAAAATAATTATGTTCATTTATAACGTGGCCTGAACTTCATTAGGTTTCAAAAATGTATGGTTGTAAAGCAGCATATCACAGTATATGACTACCGATATATTATAATATCGAAAAAAAACAAAAACATGTGCATTCAAAATAATTTCCACTACAAAAATATTACAGCATATCTGAATTACTGGACATTGGTTAAATAAAGCCGGTATGTTAATGATGAAAATTAAACAATTACATGCATATTTATTAAAGAATGGAAAAACTAGTTACATCTGTATAATTGCGTATTTGTTTTCCGCATGTCTGTCACAGACACACTGTAGGAATTAAATTGTTGTGATGTTGGATGGATTCACTAATTAATTATTCAAAAGATCAATACACATGTAAATTTGTATACAATTACTTGGCAGGAGACAAAAAAAAAATAGGTTAATTTGAGTGAGAAATAAAAAATAATTGCAGCTTTCAGCTCGATATTTTTTGATTTTATTTCAAAAAAATTGTTCGTACATAACATTTAGTCAGGTTTTCTCTGTAGTTCTGAAGGGTTCAGCATGTGTGAGGTCAAAGGTCAATGTAGTCAATAGCACATGTACATCATATATCACATTTTTCAAAATTTGGTAAATTTATTGATTGTCATGGTTACCTTCAATAAATATGTGATAAACATGTATATGAGTATTGTATATTATATATATTAATTTTGTTTTCACACATAAAAGTTGTATACAAAATGCAATTGTTATGTTGTTTTAAATGGAACAAACTTAATTTCATTATTGTGGTTGTGATAATACGAAACAGTTAAGTTCATTAAGACCCCTACATCTCAAGATTAATTCTGGTAATATGTCAAGTATTATATCCACAAGTATATACTGGTTCCACGAGAGTTAAGACCAGACTGTTTAAAACACTCTATCCTTCTGTAATGATGCTACGGTACGTCAAAGGTAGGGTCACAATTTATTTACGCTCATAGCTTAAAAAGCAACATATATACATACACTTATAAGTGTGCCAGGGTAATGTTAGTTACTTGATACCTCACATGATACAGTCCAACCATTGTTACTGACTACCTGCCTATAGGAGATGCTCAATTGTTTGAGTTATGGACATCGAGTTATGAACATAGAGTTATGAACATAGAGTTATGGACATCGAGTTATGAACATAGAGTTATGAACATAGAGTTATGAACATAGAGTTATGAACATAGAGTTATGGACATCGAGTTATGAACATAGAGTTATGAACATAGAGTTATGAACATAGAGTTATGAACATAGAGTTATGGACATCGAGTTATGAACATAGAGTTATGAACATAGAGTTATGAACATAGAGTTATTAACATAGAGTTATGAACATCGAGTTATGAACATAGAGTTATGAAAAAATTGAGTTACAAAAATGGCCACGCCCATATTTTCCAAGCCAAGACCACTTTTGCACAGCTACACCCAAATTATAACTCATTGGTTAGTTAACAGTTAATCGAACTTTGAGTTACAGGCAACATAAATTGCTATCGTTGTTTAACATCCACATTTATCAACTCAAACTAGAATTAAAAGTGGGCGTGGCGGTCACTATACACAGGTTTGACAGTATTTGTAAACAGGCAATTGAATTTAGAATCAGGACAAAGCATAATCCATTCTTGTCTTAAATCTTTTGTAGCAGGAATATATCCTGTGGAATTAATCTTGGCTGTTCAAAAATTCAAAGATGATAATTCAGTTATAGTTGTTACCATTAAGCGGATTTCCTTGACTTTTTTACAGTGTGTTTTTATATTATGCTTTTGTTCACAAATCGTCATATAAAAATATATAGTCACCAAATTAATTTTCACACAAAAAATGTTTATTTTCAAAAATTTGCTTCTATGGTAGAAATTATATTTACAAAAGTATATTGTAATACATGTATTATACATCTGGGATCGTAACACCATAAGTAACAGCATGCTGTAGTATTTTATGGGGTATTTTCATCCTACCATATTAGGAAATGCGAATTGCAAATATGGAATGATTATACCTGTAAGCATCCTCTAATAATAAACAAACATGGATGCCCCCAGGGTTTGACCGGACTCCATACAAAGAAGTTTGCTGATTCTGTTCTAAACTTTTTGAATTTTTGCATTCCCATGATATATCATTGGGAGGAAAAGATCTATATTAATATGGTTATTACGAGGATACTTCTTCGTAATAACCTCACATTTACATGTATCTACAAAAAATAGTTACATGCATTACAAAAATCAATGTAGTGTCAAATGGCTATTTTATTTTAAATAATGCTTTAACATGTATTACTATGAAAATAGCTCCAAATATGCTAATTTTTCCAACAAAATACATGTACCTGTTAAAACATAACAAAGGTTGGCAATGCTAATAAACACTTATATAACACTTTTAAACCAAATATTGTGATAAAATTGTCATGCCAATTTAAGAGATTAAATGCCTAATAACAAAATTATTTAGTTGGTGATTGTGAAGTAGAGGCAGAATATCAAACACAGCAGAGGATTATTCTCACACCAGTACACAGGTATTATGTGTGCAACTACAAGCAACAAATGATAAACACAGCACATGAACAGACAATACATAGTTTCACTGAAAAATAAATGCAATTCACAGATGTAAAGCTGACTGTAACTGTAACTGTAACTGAATGTACAAGAGGTTTTATGTAATACAACGGAGTACAATAGTACAGGATATGCTGTCAATATGAAAAGAAACACCCATTACTAACTCAATAAATAGTTTTGAATTCACCTTAATGTCTGCACTAATGTATTTGTATTAATTGTGTATAAATAAAAATAAATGCATGTGAGGCCAACAAATGAAAACAAACTATTGGTGAAAATAAAAGTCTTTTTCACAACTGGGGATAAAATAAATAAATAAATAAAAACTAATAAATAATTATTTGTTTTTTAATTGTTTTGGTGATAATTTGTTGGCACCAGTGTAAATTTGTATTAAATATTTTCATACAAGTGTATAAAAAATTGGCAAGTTGAGGTGTATTCTGCTGTGGTATGTAATCAAATATGGTTTTTAATTATACTAATTTGCATATAAAATTACTCTAATCTGCATAAACAATTATAAAATACAAAACTAAAATAGGTAGTACCGCAGATATAATTCATATAGTCTACTACATTACCAGACATTGACCCTATAAAACGTTGTTACACATAAAATTTGATAAAAGGAATTCCATTGAATATCAATACTTGTTTTTTATTGAACATATATGATGTCACACATTCTTTGTTACTATAGTAACAAAACACTAATGAAGTATTTGCACAGAATATCATGCATTGCGTAAATTTGACCTAAGAAATTAAATTTATATTTTTCTACAAATTCTTTGTTAATTTTGGACCAAATGAACATAACTTGTCATTGACTGTTAATATTTAATATTCAAAGCATTAATAAGACTATTTATGCTTTACTATAATAACTAGTTTCCATCTTTTTAATTAAAAATGAAACCTCAAGGTATTAACTGAATTATAATATTATTTTTCACTTTTAAATACCTGAACAACTCAGTGTATATTTATTTAATTATCATTTCAATATCATGTGTGTCTCATTGTATTTATTCTTACTGTAATAAAATTCCATTAGCGATCTGCACAATTAAGTTAAGTCAATATAGGTACAGGCAGGAAATAGAGTATGGACACATTACAATAAATCAATCTAGAAGTGCAGAAAAGAAGACATTACCGTACATCAATCTATTACTATAAAAATGATAATTTAAACAAAGATGATATTTTAACTTATTTAGGTATGGGCCAAAGTATAGACAGCAGCGCAAATTTTTTCCACCTTTTTTTCAGAGGTATATGTAGCATTTTCTTGTCTTTTTTCGAAAATACTTCACACTGAACTATTTTGAGAGAAAAAAATTTGAGAAAATGTGGTAGTGAAAACAAAGTTGACCAGGAAATTTCTGAATTTCACTTAAAAAAATATATTCCAATATTTTCCAAATACATAACATTATATATACAGACAAAAAGCAAAATCCTTGTATCCATGTATTACTCAATTGTAACAGTTTGTGAAATGTTAAATTTTTGCAATCTGTCATTTATTTTCACTTTCATCAGCAGATTTATCCGATTACGGGGTCGTGCAATTATGGTGCTTGTGTCATATCACCTACAGGTTGCAAAGTTATTCCCTTTTTAAAGCGGGAGAGTCGTCACCTCCGCATGCGTCAAATGGCCATAGCATGTCATTGTTTACAAACAAGCATCTACCCATGAGCCTTTGTGTTTCAGCATGTGTTGTTATCATCGATTGGGACTCAATTCTCACACGTGCATAGGTGACGACCCTCCCTGTGATATATGCACTAGGATAGGACTGGGACTGGGATTTGATGCTAATCTAGCAGAAGTCATTTAATAGTTCCACTTTAGAAATACATGCAACTTAATAAAATCTGAATCTCAGTCATTTTAAAATGCTATTTCGAACTTTCATGCATGCATGCTTCACGTTCTTGTCACTGTTTTTTTTTTTTGTTCTTTCATTAGAACATCACAACAAAAATCAAATAAAAAGCTCTGTTTTCATGAAAAATCATAAATTTTAATGAAAATTTTTGAATGAAAATAAAATTAAGTCGCCTATGCACATCAGTTTTAGAAAAAAAAATATAGCAGAAATATTGTTTTTTGTGCCTAATGTGAAATCATAACAACTGTTTTCATATCCATGGCTATATAAGGAAACTGTTTTTTACAAACACATGCAAATACAATATAATACTGTAGCGTACACACATAAATACAATCACTCTGTGATAAAAGAATGTTAAATAAGCTTTTCATTGGAATAAAGAAATGCAGTGAACTGTATACACTTGGCTACCATGTCTTTATTGAAAAATAACTTGTCTGTAGTCACATTTCTATACAATCTTGCATGAACTGTTGATCGACAGGCATGGAAACACAGATACGTGCAGTGAAACAAACCGGTGTATTTAACTTCCACATGCAAGTGTCTGTGTAAACAGTTGCAGTAAACTTGGTTACCACACTATGTGAGAATTGGTGTGCACTGTTGGAATTTATTAGCATACTGTCTAGCATAGAGTCATGTTTATATGCATAAGAGATTATTTTATTAATTCAATTAACATGAAATACATTATTATACATCTCACACTGAAAACAATACAATACAATAAAACCGTCTGTAAAACCACATTTACTAGAAGCACAAATAACCATGGTAAAACACAGTACAGGTGCATTCAATTATGTTATATGGGCGTGTTTGAATCTCATCTTTATTTACAAAATGCGTGTTATGGTGATGTCATATTTCAATAATTTGTCTTGTTTACATTAAATGCAGTAGTGCTATAGCAGAAGCATCTAAATGTAAAATCCTGTCACTGAGCACAAATTTCTGTTGTCATTTTGGCAATTATACAAAAAGGAAAAAAAATGTATTTTAATAAGGTCATCTTGAGAATATCCACTCATGCAGTATGGAATACATCAACGGATCAACCTCTGCTATGTGTCGGCCAATAACGATTGCCGAACTACCTTAATTTGTGTATACTTTGCAGTTTTCTCGTAACAACCTCACATTAACCCTAAATAACACAACATGTATGTGTACACACTTTAACACTATAACACCCACTTAATATGGTCACAAAGACAGATATACTACAGTATGATACCACTGTGTACAAGTGTTTAGCCTTCTGATGTTGCTGGGGAAACCGAACCAATCACTTTAAATTTAAATGTTTTGAATAGCTTGATTTAAGAGAACACAAAACAATCTTAAAGTGTAGTTTTAAAATTGGCTCACTAGATTTAGTGTTTTTAATTGAACTACACATTTGTGAATTTTAGAAAACTTGTGAAATTTAGCAGTAAACATTACACTGACATTCCAACACTCTCGAATCACAGTGACTTTCATGAATAATGCCTACTTAATTTGTCTTTTTGTCAAATTTATAAAATACAAAATCCCAAATTCACTTTTTTATAATATGAAACTTCAATTACTATAAAACATTTGCACACAGCTTTTTTTTCTTCCAAAATGTAACTATATAGGTATATAGGGTTTATTTTGTCAATAGTTGCTTAGTGTTTGTTTTGTTCTTACAAGCTTTCTCTCCTCAATTTCCCTAACATAAAAAAAAAAACCCACAAAACACAAATTTACATTTATTTACATTATATTACAATTATTCATTTATCTCTTATTATGAGATATGTATTTATTTCACTCATTTACAGTATTTTTAGTATTTCCTTTTATTTTCATTTTTTTTATTATTACATGTTTTTGACTTTATTGTATTTTATGTCAAGATCTCAAATGGGATACGATAGCAATAAAGAATTACTTACTTACTTACATAAACATTTACAAACATTTACTGCTGCTTCTTAAAGGGTTGTAACTATATCAATTTTAAGTTAAATTAGTATCACAATAGCTTTAGAAATTTTAATGTATACGTGAGAAACCTCCAAATGCTTTTAAGACAGGACAATTAATACAAGTTCACATAGATCAGACTCAGGTTGCCAAAATACGAACAGGAAATAGCAAAAAAGCTGTTCTCATTTGATATGATATATTCCTAGACATCAAGCCTATACTCATTTTGGGGAATCACTGACTTGCTTGATAAATAAACTATTCTATCTTTTTCTGGCCACATCAGTGATTTCACTTGGCTACATTTCTGTTCCTGCCTCATCCAAACCGAGACTTCAATACCCCCTCCCCTCTTATGTGAAGTTGGGCTATTTTGACTCCGAATATTTTTGTACTTTTCTATGTAAAAATCAGCACATGCATCATTTAAGTAATATTATTATCATTTTCATAAATCAAATAGATGATTGTTTAATTTATCACACTGTCAGGATATTTTTATTCTTGGCTTGTTACTAAGCAACTAAAGATATTATATAAAATGTTTTTTCAATATTTATGCATATTTGTATCACTAGACCCTGTATTATTCCTAATGAAATGAAGCCATTCACAGAAGACATTAGATTTACCGTAATCATAGACCTTTCTAAGGTCTATGATTTAATTTCACTATTTCGCGAAAGAAATAATTGATTTAATGGACTAGACTTGTATATTCACTTGGTTTCAATCTAGCAAATAAAAAGGAAAACAAATGATAACAAATCCCACTGAGTGGTCTAAAATGTTATCAAATAACTCTATGATTTTAATAATTAATTTATAATTTTCATGCAAATTATTGTTTGTAAAAGTGGAGCAATGTCAGCTTATCTACTGAGAGGTTGGACTTCATTGTTTTTTATTTAAAGTTCACACTGTTAGTTACATAAAAGGACTAGTGTACTGAGGTCTTAGTTGTGACCTCAAATAGTATAGAGCTCAGCTTTAACCAATCAATCTGTCCATCAGAAAACAAATAAAGCATTGTTAAATAATGCCACACATTGAAAACTCCTGCAAGTGTGCGGTGGTGCTCATGTGCATGGATTATTTTCCAGAGAGCAACTATGAGAACCAAGATGAAAACAAAACAATGATACAGATCTCAGCATTGAAAATAGTCCGAGAAACAATAAAAACTCAGTAATGTGTATTCAAAAATACAATTTTCAAGGTCGAATAGTTTTAACTGAGATACAACCTGGCTGATTTAAGGATATGATGGGTACCCTTCACAGAAAAAAATCTCTGTACATAAGCTTCAAGGCAATTATTTCTTGGTAAACTGCAATATATTGGGGAGGTAGATGTATTAAATCTATGAATGACCCAAACAAGATCTCAAGTAATTGGAAACATGACAAACGTAGTGAGTCCAAACCTAGAACCTAGTCAACTTGAAGATTAGTCACTGTTTGACTCGACTAAAAATCTCAAACATGTCATTATTGTTATATTAGTAACCTACCTATTCTACCATACAACAAATAAGTCATGCCCAATTATATGCACCGTATTACAACCAGCTCATTGCTCAGTGGGTTAGAAAATCCTGGACAACCATGTTCAGGACGTTCGGCCTTGAAATATAACTCCGTCTGCTACTTCAGTATTACTCTTGACAAAAGTAAATGGTTTAAACATCTTTTTTAAAACGTCAACCCACACCGAGTACTAATATTGTATACCAGTTAGATACCTATGTGACAATGTAAACAGTGATACTGCGTTACAAATTAGCAAACAGAACATTACACGGACTTCTTATTTTACCCAGCTTTCAAATTAAGATATCTATTATCATTCTCGTCAAAATAAAAAATAAATAGCTATATTTCTCGATAATGGATCTCCATACCTTAGAAAAGCGGCATATTCTTTGGCGGCCTCGTCGTTATCTTGACCATTTGCAGCGCTAACAGGTCGCGCAAGTAGCTGGTGTCGTAAGTTACTTCTCGAGTCCGAAGCGTTGAACGCGGACATGTCCACTTAGTGATGCACCGTCCCTGTGACGGCGTCTCGTACTTCAAGTTGAACAAGTGGAGTTACTGTGCCGGGGTATTTGTCTAAGTTCCACGCGTTACTGGCGTGACTCCATTCGTCCACGCGCCAAGACAACAGGTTCAACTGGTGTGCTGGATAATAAACTGTGAAAACACTCGTCCCGTGTTTGTGACTTGCTGTGAACCCACGGCCAATCAAACCGTGGGCATATTAAACAAAAGTTTGGCTGCAGCCTGGTCAACGATCTTTCAGTTTACACTGCGATTTATATATCGATTGCGGGCACGTTTAGCTGAATATTACCGAGTGCCAAGGCGGTGGCTGGACCGCTTAATTACCGCGAACAGACTGTTCGATACTACTTAGTGGTAGCCACAGTGTGGCATTGAACAGGCTGCACTGAATGGTAGCATAGTCTGTAACCATGGTTGGTAATTTATGTTAATAAATGCATCAGACTTTTGACCCCATGTTTAGTACTTGGTGGTTATGGTTTGAGTGAAGGATAGTGCTGACTGTTTTTATGAAATAACAACATTTTAAGGGGGAAATCATTTTGGATTGCCAAACAGTCCGAGGCGAAATTCGGGCATTTTAAGGAAATCGGAATTGTTCGGAAATGGTCGGTATTTTCCGAGTCATTGACCCGTGGGCTACGTAGCAACGACTGCTCACATACACTCAACGTGCGGAAGAATACTACGTCAGGATATTTCTAACTTAAAATATATTTCTTTTTATTTCACCAATTCATTTCATTTGTGTTCAAACAAAAATTGCAGAGATACAAAAATTATATGTAAAACCAGTTTATACACATTATTTTATAGTTTAATCGAGGGACTACGTTTTATCAGCGCAGACGTTGTGACTGTTTACTATCACAATAACAACCAACATGGCGGACGAAGAAGCTACAGCTGGAAGTGACAACATTGTCACAGAATATAACACTTATGAAGATTTTCTCGACTCACAAATAACGTCACTGGATTTGTACTATCTTGAGGTAAAATTATGGTATTTCGACGCTTATTAGTCTTGCAATATTGTACATAATAAGCCGTTGTCGAGTCACTTTGCTGGCACGTTGTGCTCGAGCCGTCGGTTTTTCAGCTCAGTTTTTCTCAGACAACTCATGGTAAATGAAAGTTCTATGGGAAAGTAAAGGCCTTGCAGCTCCGTACAGCCTTTTCAGCTGATCCAGGGGTTAGACATAAATTGCAGCTTTAATTGACTTGTGATAGTCTTACCCAAGTATTGCATGGTTTGGATAAATAATTACAAATTTTGCAGTGCATGTCTTCCGGGTATCGTTAGTAATACTAGTAATATAGCGATGCCTTGTCCTATGTAAAACCCTGTTTATATACCATCAACAACATTACATCAAAAATATCCATTGAAATATTTGATATTTAAAAACATTGAAATCCTATATCATCCTTTGACCTGGTACCAATTCTATTCGTTTTGACCTATATTCACTTGAGAAAAAACCAAATAACCTCTGGTAAAACAATTATAAACTGAACTTCAGTGAATAATTGTCACATCAGGGAGGGAAATCTTCATATAATCCAAAGCTTAAAGTTATTAATTTTGTCATCTCAAATTTGAGAGTTGACTTGTCTAAATCATGCTTCATTTGTGTTGTGTTACCAGCAAATAGAATGGATGCAATTTTGACTGCTGCTCACATCACACAAATTCAATAGCAGTGTTGTTTTCAAATTTTGTATTGACAATTGTCGCAGTAATGGAGTTTGTCAAACCTGTCTATATTTGAACTTTCAACATTTTACATTTTGAAATCCAAATTTGCTGCAATATGCAAGACCTAAGAAATCCAAATTTGGTAGCGTATATAAAATTCCCTGGGGAAAATTAGCATATTTGGTGGGAGATACCATGGAGGTAAAAAGAGTACCAAGGGCTGAGGGAGGTTATCATCCAACACCAAATATGCTAAATTTACTTAGAGGTGTCTTACATACACCATATACCAAAGCACATCATTTTTAACCTTATTATAACATGCTCCCACAAATACGCTACAAAATAACTGTTTATATCACATTGTTATATGTAAATTTCCAATTTCCAACCTATTTTTAAAACACTTAATAGTATTATACCATGGGTAATTCTGAAAACATAATACCCTGATTTTCACTATTATTGAGTTATATAATGATTTTCACATGGATTTGGGGTTTTATTTTTGTAAACCTGCATTCTAATGTCAGAATGTACTCGTCGTGTAGTGCATGTTCTAGATTTTATATTTGAATTCAAGAACTAAAATACATTCCGTAAAACATGTGCATAGATAGGCTAGGTTTTAGTAGAATTGTTTTAGTATATTTCAACGAACTGGCAATAATAATAACCATATACTATTTCCGCACATTTTGTTTATGTGTTCACTTTATTTGTGTTGTGTTACCAGGAATTAGAGTGGACATGATCTTGTCAACTGCTTGCACCATACAAGTGAAATATCATTGTGGTTTTCAGCATCTATATTATTAAATACAAAATAACAAGAACAAACTACATGTACTTGTGTGTCTTGCACGTGTACCTGCACCATTCCGATTTCTTACTGGTGACATAAGTAGAGATCTATTTCTGGCCCAGGCTGAGCCAATCAAAAGCTACTGTATTTGTATGATACGACATTTTGTTATTATCATTTTCACATTTATTGTTCAACTTTCTTTGATTTGGAAGGACTACGACTTGGTGACTATGATTATTTTGGATATTCAAGCAAGTGTAATTCCGATTTTGAAAATGTTGCATCCTATGTTTGCTTTTCAAGGGATTGCTCATTTCTTGTTTTTTTTTAATTTGTCACTGTTTTTTTCCAAAACAAATTATGTAATCATGTCTCGAAATTTTCATATTCATATTGTCAAACTTTTCTGTCTCGATTTCATGAACATGTCTTGGCCATGAACACATGGTACATGGTACACACCTGTTGCATGTGGTAATAATACCCCGGTAAAATATTTTATATACATGATGTAATACCGGGTACCGATAGTCCCAAGACTCCAATACAGCTTTAGGAATGATCAGAATGCTTGTGATGAAACAAATTAAGTAGACTTAAAAAATCAGAAAAATTTATATTACCCCCAATTGTCAGTATTTTGACTCCAATGTGTTTTTTAGTTCACATGACCATATTCAGATAATCAGTCATTTTAAGAGTATCTATGGTATATTTCTGAGAAGAACTCCTTGTATCTAATCATGTAAAATTCATAATGACAACCTGAAAATATTTTATATTAGGATGAAGAGCTTGCAAGACAACTTGTGGAACTTGGATATCGTGGAAGTGGAGAAGTCCTTAAACGAGAAGAGTTTGAAGCAAGAAAAGCTGCTGCTGAAGCTAGCAGGTTGTCCAAAAGAAGTCAACAAAAGTAAGTATGGAAGGCATTTGTTATAGGGGAAACAAAAATGAGTAATCATATGAGCTGTATTATCCACCAACCAAAGGTGAGAGGAATATACAGAATGTATGACGCCAGCTCTCATCAAGTGATGTTAGGTAATAACCTTTTTATTACATGACCAACTTCAATTTTCAACAAGCAGCCTGTTGGCTGAGATAGCTCAACTGTTAGCAATGCGCATTTTAATTAAAGAACTGGAGATATCATTAGAAAATGAACAATATGTATATTAGTATCAAAGCAATCAGACTTGCTGTTTTCAACAATAATTTTAAAATATCACTTTTTACCAAAAAAGACAAAAATATTAAATTAGAGAATTGAAGATATCATCATAAAATGAACAAATCTGAGAGAGGTCTATCTGTAGTACCTATATATATATATATAACATCAAAGCATTCAGACTTGCGGTTTTCAACAAGTAGTCAAAAATATTACTTTTTACCAAAAATTACAAAAATATTCACCAGAATTAGAGAATTGAAGATATCATCATGAAATGAACAAATCTAAAAGAGGTCTACCCAAGGTACATATACACCAAGTATCAAAGCATTTAGGCTTGTAGTTTTCAAGAAGAAGTCGAAAAAGTAAGCCGACAAACGACAAAGTGCAATATTCGGCATCACTAATATAGTTCTTGTCAATGCATCTGAATCCAATCTAAAATTATATCCCTGTGATAGAAATGGTAAGATGTAGTATTTAAACATAGAGGCTTCAAAATTTGCACATATTATTAATTTTTTTAATGTTTTCCCCCATAGGACACTAGCAAGCTCAGGCAAAGACTTGAAAAATCTCTTTTTAAAAGCATTAGCACAAAGGGAAGAAGCTAATCGAAGTGGAAAGATGACCACAATTATATTCATCCGAGATAAAAATGCACGAGGTCAGGAAATCTCAGGTTATATAGACTACGCCCATAGATTAAAAACTGAAGACTTTGAACCATATTTCTCTTGTAGGAAGCGACTGTTACCAAGGCCTTCAGATCTCAGGTGAGAATTTGTACTCAAAATCTACATTTTCAAATATTATATGCCACACTATTTTAGTAAGTGCTCACGATGATTGGAAGATGTTTTAGATAAGATGACACCAATTATCAAGGTCAAAACTGATCAAGGCAATGACTCCATGTATTTCAAGCCAAGTTTTGTTTTATTGCATATATTAAAAAGCTAAAGATCAAGAACATTTGTAATTTACCGGTAGCAAAAAGTCTACTCTAATGTAAATGTTGACACTTTAACTACCGTCAATCACTTCAATTTTGGAAAAGATAATGAAGTTTAGTAGCAATGAGTACAACAAGTACATGTAATGAATGCCCTAAAATGCTATATTTCAGTCCTTTCTCTATAGATTTACTCTTTGATATACTCCTCTATAACTGACCATCTCTGTAAGCAATTACATCAGTACATCCTGCATAAGTATTTTCTCTTTATTCTGTGATTTTGCATGTTTTTGTGTAAACTCAAACAATAAAAAAAAAATTTTTTTCGTTTATGAAAAGCATGCAATAAAATTCTTCTCCTTTTTTCTGATAGATATAATTTACTAAAAATTATATTAAAGAACAATAGTACACTATAATAGTATGCATTGCTTTGTGACTCTCTTTTGTTGTATGAAGGTGTTATCTGAAGTTTGATATTTTGAGTACTGTGAAATACTTTATTTTCGCTGGAATTAATTTTCACTGAAAGGCTTCTCGGGCATTTTGTATGGAATTTATTTTCACTGATTTTTGATGAGTTTAATGTGAAATATAGGAAAACAAGTATATTCGCTGGATTTTATTTTCCCTTTAGTGAAAATAGTGAAAATAAATTCCAAGCAAAAATACAGTATTTTACAGTACTTTGATTGGACAACACAAAATGTTGGTACATTTTTAGTTTCGTTAATTTTGCTTATTGTGGAAAAGATAAATATTTAATTGCTGTACAGTGATATAAAGATGTGGCAGCTTGATTAAACGTAAAAATTACTTTTCTCTCACTCTACAGCTTCTATAACTGGGAAACACAGACGTCTACATCCAATCCAACACCCAATTATCAAGTCATTGCTGAAAACGCTTCTGGTTTATTGTTTAAAAACAAAAGAGATCGTAAGATACTTAATGTTGATCCAAAGGTGAGATTTATTTCCATCAATATTAAATATCCCTTGTAATATGCTATAATGTTAACCATATCATAATCATAGTTGTCTTAGTATTCATCACAACTCAGTAAGTAATCTAGCCAAAACAAGTTCTAGCCAAGTGGAGAATACTGGTATATGTAATCTTCTGTATACTTTTATTAGTATTGGTTAGGGACGAT